TGTCCTTGGTTTAAGGCCACCACAGGTTTTCGTTTTTGTCAAGCAAGTTTCACTATTTGCCAAGGGGGTACAGGATCGGACAGAACACTGCGAACGCGGCAGGTGAAAACCAAATCAGCTGGCAGTTCTGGATGATCATTCGTGCACCAACCATGAAACTCATAGGCTCAATTGTGTAGGTTTGTACTTTTTTCCCGAGAGCGTCTGAGCGCAGGGTTCTTCCAATAGTGGGGGTCTGTATCTCATCTTCACACCTTCTCATCTTCACACCTTCTCTCACACCTTCTTTCTCATCTTCACATCTGCGCATCTTCACATTTGCTCATCTTCACATCTTCTTATCTTCACATCTTCTCATCTTCTCATCTTCACATCTTCTCATCTTCACATCTTCACACCTTCTCATCTTCACATCTTCTCATCTTCACATCTTCTCTCTCTCTCTCTCTCTCTCCTCTTTCCTCTCTCCTTTCTCTCTCTCCTTTCTCTCTCTCCTGTCTCTCTCCCTTTTCTCTCTCTCGCCTTCTTTATCTTTCTCTCTTTAGGCCGAGGGTGTTCCCGACGGGGAGTCACGAAACGTCAACCCGACCCTTTCGCGCGAAATGAGGATCGATCGTCAAAAACTGAGGTAAAATTGCGATTTTATTTGTTCTGGACTTGTCCCGGAGCAACCCTTTCGCACGAAATGAGGGTCGATCGTCAAAAACTGAGGTAAAATTGCGATTTTATTTGTTCTGGACTTGTCCCGGAGCAACCCTTTCGCATGAAATGAGGGTCGATGCGCAAAAAGTGAGGTAAAATTGTGACCTTACTTGTGCCGGACTTGTCCTGGAGCAACCCTTTCGCACGAAATGAGGATCGATGCGCAAAAACTGAGGTAAAATTGCGATTTTACTTGTGCCGGACTTGTCCTGGATCAACCCTTTCGCACGAAACCAGGTTCGATGTGCAAAAACCGAGGTAAAATTGCGATGCAACTGGTGTTGGATGTAAAAGGGTGTGAGTGTAAGAGTGTAAGCGTTTGCGTGTAAGAGGATCTGTGTGTAAATGGGGTCCGTGTGTCGCAGCTTCTGTGTGTCAAAGGGTTTCTGTGTCAAAGTGTTTGTGTAAAAGGGTTTGTGTGTAAAAGTTTCTGTCTGTGTGTAAGAGGGTCTGTGTGTAAAAGTGTTCGTGTGCAAAAGGGTGTGTGTGTGTGTCTGTGTCTGTGTGTGTGTGTGTAAAAGCTTCTGTGTGTAAAAGTGTTTGAGTGTAAACGGGCTTGTGTGTAAAAGTGTTGCTGTGTAAATGTAAGTGGGGTCCGTGGGTCGCAGCTTCTGTGTGGCAAAGGGTTTCTGTGTCAAAGTGTCTGTGTGTAAAAGGGTGTGTGTGTGTAAAAGTTTCTGTCCTGTGTGTAAGAGGGTGTGTGTGTGTGTAAAAGTGTTTGTGCAAAAGGGTGTGTGTGTGTGTAAAAGTGTCTGTGTGTAAAAGCTTCTGTGTGTAAAAGTGTTGGTGTGTAAACGGGTTTGTGTGTAAGAGTGTTTCTGTGTAAAGATGTTTGTGTGTAAAAGTGTTTGTGTGTAAAAGTGCATCTGTGTAAAAGGGTTTGTGTGTAAAAGCTTCTGTGTGTAAAAGTGTCTGTGTGTAAAAGGGTTTGTGTGTTAAAGCGTCTCTGTGTAAAATGGTGTGTGTGCAGAAGGGTTTATACTAAAATGTGTTTGTCCCACGATATGTGCGAATTTCTAAGCCACGTCTATAATACTTTGAGGGGATAGGATGGTTCCCCCACCCTGGCGGGGGGCCAGGTCGGTTCTTTGCCTGAATCAACGCCTTTGTGAGCAGCTTAGTTATTTGATTTTAAACTTGGATTCTTGTATTGCAACCAGAGCTGTCTGAGCAATACATGGTATGAATACATGCTATGAACTTCACCCCTCCGTCGAATTGCTGAGGTGGCCAGAAACGTCCGCCGCCTGCCAGGACCGCCCGTTTATACTTGTTTTTTTGGGAGATGGCAAACCACCCTGGTTGGGGGGCCCCAAAGCACACAGCCCTCATGATACAGGATCTGAATTTGGCAGATCGAGGCAGTGGTAGTACCTGTTCATATTAGCATGGTAGTCGGATTTTACCCTTCTATTTTTTGCCCTTCCACTCAAAGCTCTTTGCACTATGTGACCTATGTCTTTTCAAGGAATGTCCTATGTCCTCTGATGGTGTCAGCTATGTGACCGTGATTGCAGGCGCGCGGATGAATGGAGCAGGGGGCCTGAAAGGTCGTTGACTCTTTTAATGAAAGGTATATTTTTATGCTCGTCAAGACTGGGATCACGACCGGCAATAGTCGAGATATCTTCAACACCACTTGTGATGCACTGTCAAGCTGGTCTTTGGATCCAATGCTCAGTGGTGCAGTGTGGCTCAAGATCAATCTTGAGAAACTGGTTTGTACGTTAGTTTCTTGACCCATGTTTCAAGTCACGGTAGCGTTGCCAAGCGGTTACAGTGAGAAGTTTTCGATTGAGCAGTCCTCCACAGTAGGGGACTTGAGGCGTCTAGCACAGAAAAGCTTTCAAGCGGCTTCTTGAGGCTTGTGGCTGCAGACCATCACGGGTTGGATCCTACACTGCCTCTGCAAGAAGCGGGACTCGAGGACGAAGGCCATTGCACAGCTATTGTCCTGGAGGCAAAGCTAGCGGCAGCAGCAAAAGCTTTGTGACCGAGTTGTCACATGGGGCGAACCAGACTCTGGTGGTGACAGCTCCGACGTCCGAGCTCTGTTCCATGGTGTCCAGAAAGTTCAAGCTACAAATGAGGCATTGGCTGCGATCCTGGCAGATGGGTCGGTCGTGTGGGGCGAACCAGACTTTGGCGGTGACAGCTCTGAAGTCGAAGATCAACTGAAAGGTGTCCAACAGGTTCAAGCCAATTATTACGCATTTGCTGCGATCCTGGCAGATGGGACAATCGTGACTTGGGGCAGACCAGACTCTGGCGGTGACAGCTCTGAAGTACAAGATCAACTGAAAGGTGTTCAACGGGTTCAAGCAAATGATTACGCATTTGCTGCGATCCTGGCAGATGGGTCATTCGTGACTTGGGGCAGACCAGACTCTGGTGGTGACAGCTCTGAAGTCCAAGATCAACTGAAGGGCGTCCAACAGATTCAAGCAAATTGTTACGCATTTGCTGCGATCCTGGCCTATGAGTCAGTCGTGATTTGGGGGTTTTCCATACTCTGGTGGTGACAGCTCTGAAGTCCAAGATCAGCTGAAAGGTGTCCAGCAGGTTCAAGCTACAAGTGAGGCATTTGCTGCGATCCTGGCAGATGGGTCATTCGTGACTTGGGGCAGACCAGACTCTGGTGGTGACAGCTCTGAAGTCCAAGATCAACTGAAGGGTGTCCAACGGGTTCAAGCAAATTGCTACGCATTTGCTGCGATCCTGGCCGATGAGATAGTCGTGACTGGGGGTTTTCCAGACTCTGGCGGTGACAGCTGTGGAGACCAAGACCGGCTGAAGGGTGTGCAGCAGGTTCAAGCAACAAACTTTGCATTCGCTGCGATCCTGGCTGGTGGGTCCGTCCTGCCTTGGGGCTCAGACTTTTGCGGTTACCTGTCACCGGTGGCAGCTAAATGTGGATATATGTAATCATGTTGGCGCAAAGACGCCGTGCAGCTTTAGTTGAATGGCCGTCGCACATGTGTTTGAAAGGGCTCTGGATTGACCTGTAGCAAATAGCGTTTCGCATCCAATACAGCGCATGGATATGTGTAGCCATTGGTTGATTCCAGTCCATACAGCTTCTAGATTTCCACCTGATGATGCTGAGACGATGGATTATATAGATGCATATATGAGTGATGATGTGATTCTTGTCTGCATCTGTTGGAGTCAAGAGAAATGGTAGAAGTTCACTAACACGGGCCTTTGCTGCGGAAGCATGGACAGTTGCATTACAGGAAGGCATCAGTACCACTTCGTGTTGGTGGCAGCTCAAGCTCCTGGAGAACAATTTGTGAGCAGCTTAGCTATTTAATTTTCAACTTAGCTATTTGTTGTATTGCAACCAGAGCTGTCTGAGCAATACTTCTATAGCCTGTACTATATTGAATGCATGTTCGCCAAATACATGGTACGAACTTCACCCCTCCGTCGAATTGCTGAGGTGGCCGCGACAACGATGACTTCACTGTGAGTGCGTGAACATGGGCCGGCCTGTGTGTAAAAGCGTCTGTGTGTAAAAGCGTCTGTATGTAAAAATGATTGTGTGTAAAAGCGCTTGTGTGTAAAAGCGTTTGTGTGTAAAAGCTTCTGTGTGTAAAAGCGTCTGCGTGTAAAAGCTTCTGCGTGTAAAAGCGTCTGTGTGTAAAAGTGTTTGTGTGTAAAAGTGTTTGTGTGTAAAAGTGTTTGTATGTAAAAGTGATTGTGTGTAAAAGTGCCTCTGTGTCAAAGTGTCTATGTGTAAAAGCTTCTGTGTGTAAAAGTTTTTGTGTGTAAAAGCGTCTGCGTGTAAACGCTTCTGTGTGTAAAAGCTCCTGTGTGTTTAAAAGGGTCTTTGTTAAAAGTGTCTGTGTGTAAAAGTGTTTGTGTGTAAAAGTGTTTGTGTGTAAAAGTGCATCTGTGTAAAAGCGTATGTGTGTAAAAGCTTCTGTCTGTAAAAGCTTCTGTGGGTAAAAGCGTCTGTGTGTAAAAGCGTCTGTGTAAAAGCGTCTGTGTGTAAAAGCTTCTGTGTGTAAAAGCTTTTGTGTGTACAAGCGTCTGTGTGCAAAAGTGTTTGTGTGTAAAAGTGCATCTGTGTAAAAGTGTATGTGTGTAAAAGCTTCTGTCTGTAAAAGCTTCTGTGGGTAAAAGTGTGTGTAAAAGCGTCTGTGTAAAAGCGTCTGTGTGTAAAAGCTTCTGTGTGTAAAAGCTTTTGTGTGTACAAGCGTCTGTGTGTAAAAGGGTCTGTGTGTGAAAGTGTCTGTCTGTAAAAGCTTTTGTGTGTAAAAACCTTTGTGTGTAAAAGCTTCTGTGTGTAAAAGCTTCTGTGTGTAAAAGCTTTTGTGTGTAAAAGCGTCTGTGTGTAAAAGCTTCTGTGTGTAAAAGTGTTTGCGATGCAAACTATTGTCTTTCACTTTCTGCTATTTTGTCTTGATACTCCTCTTCTCGACTGCCTATAACACATCATTAATATATTGTTTGTAATATGGTGTCTCCGTTCTAACAAGAGAAGACCCTGCTCCTCTACGCTCTCGGGCCATCCGTCGTCTAGTTCTATTTCTTGGTGGGTCTATCTACTTGTTGGTTTCAAATATGTGTTCAACCATATTTGGGATCATGATCCCAAATGACTTGATGGTGGTGATGGTGATGATAGTAATCAGGAACAATATCAGAATAATAATGACAATATGCCAGCCCCGGATCAACAACCCCTGGGCTGTTTGATTGATAGGTGCCATTTTTGGTGGCAGATGAGCAGTAACTGTTTGGCAGCTCCTGATCCTTCATCAACCAGTGTTTATTCATCCGGGGTGGGCATTGCCGAGAAAATAGTGCGGTCTGGCAGTTTGGCTCAAGATGCTTTTGAAGGTCTCACCATATACTTGATATTGCCAATGTCATTGATGTAATGTAGGAAAATCATTTGTTTGATGCTTGAAGTCACTGTGGCATTACCCAGCGGTCACAGCGAGAAATTTTCTCTTCCGCAGACCTCCAAAGTTGGGGACTTGAAGATCCTGGCCCAGAGAACTTTTGGACTTGGCTTCCTGAGACTTGTTAGTGCAGACGGGCATAGCTTGGCAATTTCAACATCTCTGCAAGCAGCTGGAGTTCAAGAAGGAGATCAATTGACAGCTGTTGCGCAAGAAGCAAAGATGGTGGCAACACGACGAGCTTTTGCGTTGTGGTGCCATGGAGGTGACCATATAGTCACATGGGGCGCCAGACTTGCAGGTGGTGATGCCTCTGAAGTCCAAAGCCAGCTCAGAAATGTGCTGCAGGTTCAAGCTGCAGACGAAGCATTTGCTGCTATACTGGCAGATGGATCAGTAGTTGCATGGGGCAATCGGTTCTGTGGTGGTGATATATCTGCAGTCCAGGATCAGCTCAGAAATGTACAGCAGCTTCAGGCAGGGAAGGATGCATTTGCTGCCGTCCGGAAAGATAGATCAGTGGTTACCTGGGGCAATCGGTTTGCTGGTGGTGACAGTTCTAAAGTCCGAGACAAGCTTCGGAATGTACAACAGATTCAGGCTACCGAACAAGCATTTGCCGCAATCTTGGCGGATGGATCTGTCGTTACTTGAGGGGAATCAGACTCAGGTGGTGACAGCTCTGCAGTCCAAGATCAGCTGCAAAACGTGCAACAGATTCAGGCTACTGTACGCGTATTTGCGGCAATCTTGGCAGATGGGTCGGTTGTTACTTGGGGCAATCATGATCATGATGATGGTGGCATTTATGGTATGATTAGCTCTAGAGTCCGAGACAAGCTCCGGAATGTACAGCAGATTAAGGCTGCGCTATTCGCATTTGCTGCGATCTTGGCAGATGGATCTGTGGTCACATGGGGCAATCCCATGGGTGGTGGTGACAGCTCTGAAGTCCAAGATCAGCTGCGAAACGTGCAACAGATTCAGGCCACTGGACGCGCCTTTGCAGCGATCTTGGCGGATGGATCAGTCGTTACCTGGGGCAATGAAAAGGATGGTGGTTGCAGCCGTGAAGTCCAAGATCAACTCCAGAATGTAGAGCAGATTCAGGCCACAGAATGCGCATTTGCTGCCATCCTTCAGAATGGATTTGTCGTTACATGGGGTGATCCGGAGTATGGTGGAGACAGCTCTGAAGTACGAGACCAGCTGAGGAACGTACGGCAGGTTGAAGCCACGGAACGAGCCTTTGCCGCGATCCTGGCGGATGGATCTGTCGTGACGTGGGGCGATGAACGCTGTGGTGGCAACAACTCCAAAGTTAAAGATGAGGTGGCCAACTTGTAGAAGGGCTTGCTGGCAAACCCATCAAACCCCAAGAAAAGATGATCTTTGCTCTTCTCAGCTCCGCTGGATGGAACGAATTCATTCTGGCTAAGTGCCATCAGGCACAAAATCCCAAATGGCACAATAGACTTCGATGCAAAAAGACATCGCAGGATGTTGGTTGTTTCCAATTGTCCTTGGTTTAAGGCCACCACAGGTTTTCGTTTTTGTCAAGCAAGTTTCACTATTTGCCAAGTGGGTACAGGATCGGACAGAATGCTGCGAACGCGGCACGTGAAGACCAAATCAGCTGGCAGTTCTGGATGATCATTCGTGCACCAACCATGAAACTCATAGGCTCATAGGTTTTTGACCCATCCCCCGTTGTGAATTTGTCTCCGGCGGTTCCTTTGATCGATATCACTAAGGTTCCAGGTGCTGTTGCTGGCTTGGAGAGTGATGATGAGGCCATGGTTTCTCTTTGGTCGCATGAATTGTTGGCAAAAGATAATTCTCCATAATGATTAATTATATATACAAAATTACATACAATTACGATATATTACGATATTATATTTACATAACAACCGCAAAAGTACATTCTTTAGAATTATTTAACGCTGTTTGGGTAGGAATTCACTGTTCTGTCGCTTTTTGGGGATCTTCATTTTCAACCAGATTTTCTGTGACCACCTTCCAGCATCAGAGGGTTCTTGAAAGGCAATGCTGTTGGAGAAGATGCGAGGTAGTGCGTATAGCACATATTGTAGACACAAAGATATCAGATATTCTTAAATATATATTATAATTATATCATAAATTATATCGATATTTTTTAATTTATATTGCATATGTATATCTATTTTGTATGCTATCCGTAGTTGCCGACGGCATTGCAGCTTCGTCTTGGCCAAGCTTCCCAACCGCATTTTGTTCGTCAACGAGTCGCGTCAGGTGGTTCAGCCACTGCAGCTGACAGCTCAAGACATCTTGGCGGGCAGGTGCCGAGAAGTCATGTTGAGCACCCTGAAGAATCGTTGTCTTGGGGATGCCCAGCCCCAAGTCACCATGTGTATGGGTGGTTATTGAACCATCCCCAGTCATGATAGTTGTGTATGGGATTGGTTTGCCACATAATACGTAGAAGGCACGTTTTTGTTCGTGGCCTAGATCTATCAGCATACTTAAAGGGCAACCTGATGGTTGTATTGTTGTATCCCCAATTTTTGGACGCACCCATGCATGCCCGAGCCTGAGATGGTGCACGTTTTCATCCATGAACAGTGCAAAACGATATCAAGCGCAATGTTTGCAATTCTGGTTGGTGGTTTGGAACTTTTTTTATTTTCCATAATATATGGGATAATCCTTCCCATTGACGAATATTTTTCAGAGGGGTTGAAACCACCAACCAGATATGTTTGTAATCTTTTGTGGGTTGCTCTTCGCTTGCAGAATGGTCACCAGGGTCACGAGGTGAAGAGCTTGCAACAAGACATGCGTGGGAAAGGTAACAGTAAGTCTCATCGGCCATTGTCCATAGCCCCTTGAAGTTGAAGCTGCATAGATTGTAGATAATGCATGATACATTATATAATGATCATTAATGATACATTGTAATGTATGATACCTTAATGTCCCCCTTCTTTGCTTTACAGCACCTGAAGATCCACGAAAAACTGGACAACTCGATCCCATTCCCATGATCCCCTGTGGTGAACCCATCGAATACACCAACCATTTTCATCCATTTTCCGTTTCTAAATCCGTGTCCGGTGATGGGGATCGTTTTTCATTGGGTTTACCACATTAAAACCCCAGCATTGGAGGAAAATGCTACAGGGAATGAGATGGTTTTCCGACATTTTAAGTCCCCTACACCAATCCAATGGTCAAGGAGTTTGTCCGAAAAATGTCCGGGGCAACCCCCACCCATCCAAACAAAAACACACACGTGGAGGAAGATCATTTTCTCAACCATAGGACCATATAGGATGTTGGTGGTGAATTTTCCGACAAGAACCATAAGGATATACCCTCTGGTAATTTAACAGTTTGCTATTAAAAATGGCCATAGAAATAGTATGAAATAGTTGATTTTCCCATTAAACATGGTGATTTTCCATAGTTATGTTAGTTTACCAGAGGGGGTGTAAGGAACATCAGGGAAAACCACGCCATGGTGGTGTCATTATGGCGTCTCCAGGAATTGTGCTGAGACCAATCAGCTGCTGCAGCTGTTGGCATGTCGGGCTCTAGGTCAATGGCCCCAGCGACCCAGTCATGGACCATGCTGGCTGGAGGTGGTGCTGTGGGTGAGACGGTGGACAGTCTGATGAAGTGTATCATTAATAATCGCCTCATTGGGGTTTAACCCTTCAAAAAATTAGGTAAGTCTAATCTGGCAATGGACATCGATTGAGGTTAAAGGGTATAGTTGTTGATTAGATTATATAGTCTAACCCATGAAAATCATGCATCTAACCATCAATCACTCACTAATGGACATCATATATTTGGATTAACCATTAATGATCCATCTAACCATTAATGGACATATATGTTCATGTTCCCGTTCATCCATCGCTGCAAATCCTTCCCTGTTGGATCGCTAAGGCCTTGGGGAGGCCGCGCAGTGGATTGGACGCTGGCGTTTGCAGTGCCTTGGCTGTTGTCCCTATGTTGACATGTGTTGTGACAGTATATGTTTGTGCACGTTTGATCTATGCGTACACATGAATACACATATGCTCCGTGTATGGTATATTTTCCTACATTTGGGTGATCTTTAAGGCAAATGTTGGTAAATATTCCATACATGGAGCATATGGGATATACAACTTTGTTTATCAACTGTGTGATGTAACATGATGTAACAGAGAGGGAGAGATTAATTTATATGGAATCCATTGAATGCATGCGCTGTTTTTTTTCGTTGGAGCTGTGCTTGCAGGTACCAAGTCTCTGGTGGAGATTGGCAGTTCTATGCCGCATGCTTAACTGGTGACTGTCACGTGAAGCGTGTCATGTGAAGTCGCAGACGTATGGTGTACGCTACAGTACTCAAAGATGGCAATGGAAATCCCCCATTCATAGATGATGTTCCATTAGTTATATACTAGTTTCATAGATTCATAGATGCTGTTCCAGTAGTTGTCCATCAAAATCCACCATTTATAGATGATTTTCTCATCAAAAAACTTCCATTTAACCATGGTGGATTTCCCACTAGCCATGTTTGATGTCCTACAGCTCTCTGAGCCAAAGCTGAGGATGGCGACTTTGAAGGCAATAGCTTTGAAGACAAGGCCGAAGCGGAAGGGTTTCCAGAGACTCTCAGGTGATTCATGCGCAAAAAACTGTTGATTCAGGACGGTTCATATCCTTTGCCACACTGCCACACTCCAATTTCCGGCATTTCATCACAGTTTTCAGTACATTCCGTGTTACATTCCTCTTCGTTGTAGAGTCACTGGTGTATAACCTGCAAGGTGATTCATAGAGTTCTGCCACCGGGTAGCCTACCACAGGGTCGTAGCTACTGCCCCACGGTTCACTCGTTCAACTAGCCCCACGGCCCTATGGATCCCTATGGCAGGTGCACATCATTCAACTTCCAAAACCTCTTCGCGCGTCTCGGCTTGGACAATAGACTTCTTGTTGATATCCCATTGCTATCTGTTGGATCCTCACTGGGATTTCTATATGCATGTATTATAATATTATTATATATTATAATATATGTACATAACAGATGTAGATAAATTGATAAATATATATATATATAACATTAGAGAGAGAGAGGTGGATAAATTAAATCTGTGACACACACAGCACGGTTTTGACCTATGCCGTTGTAGGTCTCTCTCTCTCTCTATACTTCACCTGGCATCAAACTACCTGGCTGTCCTTGTGCCGCGGGCCGAGGCTGATAAACTCCGGATTTACCCGGAGGAATGGTCCGGAGACTCAGTTGGAACCCCCGTTTCATAGGAATGCAATGGAGTATTTAATACTATATTTATTAGATTTATCATAATTTATCTATATTTCATGAACTTGATATGGGAAAATGATGCAAGAGAAGTGGATTTTTGCTGGGACAACCCCAAGACTTGCTTTGCCGCAACGTTTAGAGGGTTGACATGGGTTGACTACAAGGACTGGAAGGGGTTGACTACAACATGTGCATCGGGCATCGGATGTCGCGTTTTTCGATGAGGCACACGCGACCAGCATTGCGCTTGGAGGTCTTTGTTGGTAGCTCAGCCGGCAGCGCGACTGGGCGCCATGATGCCCATACACTGCGGAGCAGCGCCTCCCTGTATTCAGAGTTCATAATCTGTATGATGCATTCACATATATATATATATGTATATACAATATTTGATAGATGCATGTTTTGTATATATATATATATATATATATGTAACATATATATATTATAGGTATATTATAGATATGACATAATACACACAAATGGTGTGTATATATTTATGTGTAGTATATAGTATATGTATAGTTATATATATATATGTGTGTGTGTTTTGCTTGGGTGTATGTGCAATGATGTGCAAAAAATGGGCTCAGAGGACTATATCAAACGGGCCATCGTTCATGGAGGCCGTGCGGCCATCTTTGCTGGAGCGATTTTTTGCCAAATATGAATTCACATGTCGCATGGTGATGGCGGGGTGCACATGGCTTTTTTTTTTGGCTTAAGATGTAGTGGAAAATCCTCAAGATTTAAAGTTGAGAGATGGGGAAAGCCTGGCACAAAGATCATGGGACTGTAGTAGCTATGTCTGCGCGTTTAGGATCACAGGTGTGGAGGTTTCTTTGGTTTCTTTCTCGGAAGCTTCACTGCAGCTTCCCAAAAGATCATTTTGTTGCGAATTTCGCACCCTGCAAGCAAGGTATCCCACGGGAGGACACAAAAGCATCACCAAAAGTGTATCCTTTAGCCTCCGCAAGGTGTGAGTGGTGCAGTTTGTGACGCCCAGTGGTATGCACACCATTTGGGGCACGGGCCAAGTTAGGGTAGTAACGGGTAGTGAAACAGAAATGAAGGTGGAACTTGTGCATCCTGCTGTCGACCGAATTTGAAACCATCAACACAGATCTACCAAGAGTCAGTCTTCCTCATTACCTCATTTTCCCAGAAACTGTCCCTGTTGCTTGGGGGTGCATCCCGATTAGTAAGTGGTTATTACAAATTAAACATCATTAATTAAGCCATATGTATATATATGTACATATTATATTTATTTTTTTTTGATGGGGTATTTTACACACATACACACACACACATATATATATATATACAGGAACCGACAGAATTATGGGGAAAAAAAACGTTTCAATTTACAGGCGCCGCCTGTCTATGATAGAAAAGTTACGAACCTTTTTTTTTCCATAATTATTTTTTCCATAATTATTTTTTTTCCATAATTCTGTCGGTGACTGTATGTCCATCGATTCGCAATTTGAATGCATTTTAAGGGGGAATATTGAACTATAGAAAATATGTGTCTAAAGATCTGGTATATGCCCCTAAGTCTTCCATAGTGGTACCAACAAAGGAAAAACAATTGCACCACCAAAACTCATTGTTGTACTATACGTACATACATATGCGGGATGTATCCTTTTGCCAAGCCACCAATTGGGTTGATACTACATACTTGCATTTGCATACATATTTCCATAACCCCCCAAAAAAAGGGGTTTGAATTGTGGATCCATGACATGTCCAACAGGTGGAGCCCCAAACATTAATTATGGAAAAAAAAATATGGAAAAAATAATTATGGAAAAACCGGTCAATCTGCCCTAGCCCCCTGATTTTACAGGAAAAATCAATTATGGAAATAATGGCCCCCTCCAAGAATTATGGAAAAAAAAAAGGTTCGGATCACTTCCGGGATATTTTGAACCCTTATGGGGAAAAACCTAATTATGGAAAAATCGGACGCAGGCGCCGCCTGTCTAAGTTGAACGTTTTTTTTTCCATAATTCTGTTGGTGACCATACATACATACATACATACATATATATATATATGTAGCTCGTTTCCAGCCGTAGTGTCAAACTCGCCACTTCACGGAGACAAGTCCGTGACGCTCCACTTGCGCCTGAGGTCGGTATCAGCTGAGTTGCTCGGATTGTCAAAGCTGGAGCACCAAGGAGGTCTTGAACCGGGCCAGCGAGGCACAAAGGAAGCACTGGGAGCCTTGGAATGCCTTGGATCCAACCCTGATGAATAAGCAACAACCAGTGGGGGGTAGTATTTTATAAAAAGGAATATGGGTATGGGTCAATACCTATAGATACATTTTTAGTGGGATGAACATCCATAAATCCCAGCTATTTTGATGTGAACTACAGGGGTACAAGGTTTTGACACACTGCCATATGACGAAATATTGGGAATTCCCCAATGGTTGATAAATTATGGGTTTATGAATCCGGGGTTAACAATTTTAACTATATATATAATGGTTGATTAATGTCGGAACCCCTGGCTGCCACAAACAACTATTATGATTGGGGATGGTTTATTTACACTACATAAAAATGGTGATGACTTGGTGATGGTTTGTGGCAGTGGGTTTCCCACATTGATGTAGATATATGCTAATTAGATTTATATAGAGATCCAATGGGGGTCACCAACAAATCGTTTATATTATATATATAATATATATTAATATATATATATTATATATATATGTATGTATACATACATACATACATACCTACCTACCTACCTACCTACATACCTACATACCTACATACCTACATACCTACATACCTACATGCCTACATGCCTACATGCCTACATGCCTACATGCCTACATGCCTACATGCCTACATGCCTACATACCTACATACCTACATACCTACATACCTACATACCTACATACCTACATGCCTACATGCCTACATGCCTACATGCCTACATGCCTACATGCCTACATGCCTACATGCCTACATGCCTACATACCTACATACCTACATACCTACATACCTACATACCTACATGCCTACATGCCTACATGCCTACATGCCTACATGCCTACATGCCTACATGCCTACATGCCTACATCCCTACATACCTACATACCTACATACCTACATACCTACATACCTACATACCTACATACCTACATACCTACATACCTACATACCTACATACGTACATACATACATACGTACATACGTACATACCTACATACCTACATACCTACATACCTACATACCTACATACCTACATACCTACATACCTACATACCTACCTACCTACCTACATACCTACATACCTACATACCTACATACCTACATACCTACATACCTACATACCTACATAGGTACATAGGTACATACGTACATACGTACTTACATACGTACATACGTACATACGTACATACGTACATACATACATACATACATACATACACGCACGACCCAAAAATTGGTTAAATCGACCCTTGTGAATGGCTCATGGGGTGGGTGAAAAAATCCCAGAAAAACAAAACAAAAAGGCTTAAAGGTGACACCCTCAAGAATCAGGGCTGAGTTAAAAGCGTAGTCAAAGGTTTTTTGATTGTTCCTTTCCCATCGGATCCATGTATGCTATATATGGTAACATTTACCATCAATATACCCCTAATGTTAGCATATATACCATACATGGATCCTATGGCTTTGGGAGTTGTTGAATGATTTCTTCGCGATTTAAGGCTATTGGCACATGCACCGTGGGGACTGTAGGTTTCATATTTCTTTGGGTAGCGGACCAACAAGATCCCACCACGTTTGGGATCCTGATATCCTCAACGACAGGATATTTCGATGGGTTGAAACACGTTGAAATATCCATCCATAGAGATGGGTTTTCATAGATGGGATGGGTTTATGTCATAAAAACCTTGGCCCAGTGGGATCTCAGGACGACAGCTCTTTGGGATACACGGAGACGTTAGGTCATCCGCTGCTGCTGCAAGCCATCTGGGACAGATACCTCCCAGTGGTGCAACGGGAAGAGACGCGCCGAGGGGGCGGTGAATTGCCGAGGGAAGTGGGGAAGCAAAATGCGGTGAAGATCACGACGTGTGTGCCTGGACCAAACTTGGCTCAGAAATGGGGTAACATTTTCAGTTTTGCCATTCAAACATGGGGAATATATGAGGATTATGATAAACTTAGCTACCAATATAATTCAGCCATGAGATCCGGGTTCCGCTGATCTTTGGAGAAACCCACCAAATGGAAGGCATTGCAAGGGCATGTGCCAAATGACACATTTTCTGGTGGTTTCAATCACGGTCAAATCGAGTCCCATCTGGGATGGTGGTTGAAACCACAAATGAAGTAAATCTACAACAGAGGTACCTGTGGAGGGCATCTACATCGCTATGACGCAATTGCTGCAGCAAGGTGATGTTGTGATCGCCATGGAGCCAGCTGCTTGGGTCCAACGTTGCTGATGTCGACGTCACAATGGACATGTCCATTTTTTTGTTTCAATCGTTCCAACGTTTAGTTGGGCCTAGGGATGTCTTAGTTTGCTGTCAAGTTCACACTTGAGCAAGAAAATGTGTACCATTGTGTGCCTGTGCCGCTCCCGCGTGTGAAAATGAAAAACATCGATGTAAGTACATGACGGAGCCAATTCAACTTGTTCCATGTTTTACCATTTCCTCCTGAGAAGGTGATTCATTATCATGGATTCATTCCCAATATTTCCCAGTAGATAGCTGGCATTGACCAGCTTGATTTTCATGGTCAAGGGTTGTCAAGAGTTCGATGGAAAGGGTTTGTTGGGAACCACTGAGGCCTACCAGGCATTGACTGAGATTGCTCGGAGCCGAACGTGCGAAATCGTCTCATGGAAACCGCAGCTGGTCTCGGTGCGAAGAATTTTTGGGGTGCATTCATAGTGTAACTTACACAATGAGAATGGGATAGAAATGGATAGAATATATATATATATATGTGTGTTCACTATCTTTCACTGCATTCTTCCCGTTGAAGAATGGGAGCAGAAAGAACTTCTGGGCCTGTTGCTACTCGTAGTCCCATGTTTTAATCAAAGAACTTGAGGCACTGATCACTTGACAGCCTGTCCCAAGCAAAAGCCCAGCAGAATGTCCATATTCTAATGGGGATTTGCTTCGGCTCTTCACAGCCAAAGATGTGCAAACTTTTGGTGTATATATTTATCCTTAGCATTCCTTAACCACATGTCTCCAAGGCATTACGATGTGGAGAACTTTTGGAACTTCCGTTTGGAGGATCTGCAATTCCTTTTGAAACAGTGCTTGGAACGGGGCCAGCACCTAAAGATCCTTGGCCTGCAACTGCGACATTCGATACATGCGATACGAGACGAGACTCGCGTTGATTCATGTTGTGATTTGGCGCCAAGGATGCTGATCATCAACTCCCCGCACAATCCTACAGGAGGGGCCCAAAAAAAAGAAGCCGCTGCATTTGTTTCAGGTCAGGCTGCCTGGTTTCATGGCTGACACTGACCCATCGCCAAAAAAATCGCGTCCTGCGCCGCAGGAGTGTCCTTCACTCAGGCGGAGCTGGACCAGATCTTTGAATTGCTGGAAGAGTTTGAAGAGATGCCCATCCTGTTTTCAGATGAGACACTCGCCTATATTATGTTTATATGTTTGATCTGGGTATATCTATACATTCTATACGTATGGCATGTGGATGTTTAAGGTGAATGCCCGGCATTTTGGAGTTCCGCGTGGGCCGCCACCTTGCAGGTTTTTTGCTGTAATGACGATCCTATCTTCAGGCACTTGATCCAAACACATTTGGGTAAGCCTCGGTTGGGCAGTTATTCATAGGCGGTTTGCCATCAATATTCGTCAGATTGGCTAGTAGAGAATCCAATAGGATCTAATAGCTATCTCCCCATATCTCCCCATGTCGGCGCTTCACCGGGCGCTTCACCGGGCCGTTCTCAGCCGAGGATGTACACAGCCATCCTGGGCGAGGGTGCCGCTCCAAGCAACGCGGGGCGGCGCAATTCCATCGTCTTGTCGGGCCTCTCCAAGCCCTGGGGCATGCCGGGCTTGCGCATGGGTTGGCTCATCATGGAGAACGGCCACTTGTTTTCACTAGGCCAACCACTAGGCCAACCACTCATGAAGTCGCAAGCTGTCAAGAAAGCCATAGGACTGGAATTTGATCGGCCAAAATGATGGCTTTCAACATCAAAGAAATCAGCTTTGACATGGTTTAATCAATGAATAATGGAAATGAGTTGGTCCAAAAATGCGGTATTGGCATGTATGTATCTCAATGTCAATGTTCAGGGCGAAGGTGGTCAACCGCATGCCTTTTGGTGATCAAACATGTATGGAAAATCGATCATTGAATATACCCATGTCTAAAATTGATTACAATTGTCGAAGGAAGTTTAGAAGTCAAACTTCCGACAATATGGACAGATGAAAAGCAGAGTAGGGCAGAGGCAGAGAGAAGAGAAAGATTAGAAGAGAGAAGAGTAGAAGAGAAAGAGTCAGAAGAAAGAAGATGCAGATGCGCGAAAAGGTAGGAAAGTCGCGAAACACTGTGTTTTCCAATGATTTGTGGCTCAGGAGGGTCGAAAAGTAGGCTCGCTAAAGCGGCGGGTGCGGAGCCAGCTGGCCACAGGAGCGATGAAAAATTGCACGCCGTTGTGGCGCGAAGCACATTTCCAAGTCAAAATGTACAAAACACCTCAGCGTCGGACCACTTTTGGAAGTTGAGATGTCAAAAAAGTGCACGCCGTTGTGGCGCGAAGCACATTTCCAAGCCAAAAGTGTAAAAAACTGACGGTCTCGGACCACTTTTGGAGGTTCCGATGTGGAAAAAGTGCACGCCGTTGTGGCGCGAAGCACATTTCCAAGCCAAAAGTGTAAAAAACTGACGGTCTCGGACCACTTTTGGAGGTTCCGATGTGGAAAAAGTGTCGAAAAAGTGCACGCCGTTGTGGCGCGAAGCACATTTCGAAGTCAAAAGTGTAAAAAAACTGAGGGTTTTGAGCCTTTTTTGATGTGAAGATGTCGAAAAAGTAGACACTGATTAACTTAACTAACTTGACTAACTTAACTAACTTCACTAACTTAACTACCCTAACCTCGACAACAACAACAACAACACCAACACCAACCACAACAACCAACCACAACAACTACAACTACAACTACAATAGATCGATAGATGGAGAGAGAGAGAGAGATAGATAGATAGATAGATCGATGGATAGATAGATAGATAGATAGAAGATAGATAGGTAGGTAGGTAGGTAGGTAGGTAAGTAGGTAGGTAGGTAGATAGGCAGAGAAAGAGAGAGAAAGAGTGAGAGAGATCAAGCACCTTTCAATCCATCAGTGGATTCGCTTTGCCATCCCTGATTCACAACAACCAACTTCTCCTATAGGTTTCCTATTTTTGAAACTTCCGCCACCACCTTGTGCGGTACTACTGGTATAAGCCAATGTCCCTTTGAAGGTTTGTTTCCATTGCCATGTTTGATGGAGGTTTACCCGGCCTGTTTGTACATGTGCTGGGGCGCTACAAGTAAAGTGTGCTGTCCAGCATCGAGTCTGGGTAAGACGTGCTGGCTTGAAAGTTGAGGTGAGCATTTCGAGAAGGTGGTGACGTTGCGCGACTACACCACCATGTGTTTGCCTCATCACAGTGAGATACTCTCCATCATTGCTCTGCAGGAAGCCGAAGCTTTCTTGAAACGCAATCGACAGATTTGCGACGAGAACTACCGCCTTCTGCAGGCAGTTCAACCAGCGAAAACAGATCGTTTCCGCCCTTCAAATGGCCACAAGATGGGGTGCCCGTTTTTGGACAAAGCCAAATATATCATATCAAATTGATTCAAATTGGATAACCTATCCCATCATATACCCATAAATTAAATTAGTCGGTTGTTGCTTAGGTCCAGGCATGATTTGAGAGTCGGGTTCCGTTCCTGCTAGGAGTTTTTGCTGCGCATGTCAGACTGGTTCTACCCTTTGGTGCAAGAGAACCAGGCTGCGGCTGGACTTTTTCAGCAACATGTTGGATGGATTTATAGCCCCAAAATGGGTGGTATACACAGACAAGACTGGGAATGGGAATATACAATCCGATATTTGGCCACTTGGCCCGTAGAACAGCAAAATGTGTAGGAAGCTAATGATTAAGCATATCCGGCACTTGTGCTATGCCCCAAACTCTTTCGGGATGATTGTCGGGAACCTCATTTTTGGTGACCATTACAGTACTTTGTGGCCTTCCACTATGTTGAGATATTATTATGGCTTGATGTCTATGGGTTTGCGAACCCAGGGACGTGTTTGATGACCCTCTGTGGGGAATCTGCTGTCCGGCAATTTTGGTTTTCAGTACAGTTTTCATAAACCCTAACAAGAACCTAGAAAAAACATGAAAAAAACAAGGAAAAACCCTTAACTAAGTCTAAAGAAACCCTATATAAATAAACCCAAAAGACACCCTAAAGAAACCCTGAAAAAAATGTATGAAAGTGTAATAGTGAAGTACCTGTAGGGCGTAGCGCACGTGCTAGTAGAATTTGAAGGTCCTCGGATCACCTTTACGGGAAGTGTTTCACAAATTGCTCAAGGCCCCTTATATTTCCAGCAAGTTCCACTACCCCTTTCTGCAAGACGTTCATGGAAATATCCCAACAAAACCCATCAAGAAAACATAATTGCAGGACCCCCTCGCCCCATCAGTTCGCCATTAAAACCCAGAAAACGGGTGGAGGACAGAGAAAAAAACGACCAAAAAGAACATCGAAAAACCGATGGAGTAAGAAAACACGAAAAACAAAAACTGCAACAACAACCACAACAATGGTCCAAAAACAGGACACATCCATTGAAGTCCACCCAGGTCCAGGCCAAGTCGCCCTTCGCCTTTCGCGCCTCGACGGTCTTCCCACGTTTGAAGCATCCACTGGGTGGCCTGGGCTCGGGCGCGCTGGAGTCGCTGGAGTCACCTTCGGCCTTGGCGGAGCACTTGGCGTGGCGGGGCCGCGTTAGGGATGGGGGAATCCGTGGGAATCCCATCCCATCAAAGGAGAAGAAGCCATGAAGCCAACCAAAAATAGTGGTGATAAAGTGCATTGAAATTATAGAAATGGTTGGTTGATGTTGGTTGAACATAGATTTATAATTATATAGTCACCGGAGGCAGAGAGATAGAGAGAGTCAAACCATTTGCTAGTCTTAGCTCATCAAAGATAGCGGTTTTATGAAGAGCAGAGAAGATCCAATCAGCTAAAATGAGGTTTATGATTTATGACCAAAAAATGATGGAGATACTGTTTCGGTTGGATGAATTCCTTCTTTCCAATGGGAAGCACCCCTGAGAAATTCGGTTGGAATGTTTGGGGGCTCTATGTTCTTTTCTTGTTGGGGATGGGATAGGATTGGTTGGGCAGTAACAAGCATGTTCATTGCAGATTGCTGGATATGCCATTGTTTCCATCAGCATGAGGATGTCGCAATTTTGCGCAGTTTCATCATGATTTATGATTATTCACCTGATTCACCTTCATCAACAAACACCTACCTTGTGTACTTTGTCAAAAAAAACGCTGGATTCCTTAGGTCTGAGTATAGCATTTGCATGATCGTCAGCGAGAAATTTGAGTTCGACTGCCCGGCTGTGCGCTTTGGCATTGGCATGTCCAGCTTTCCCAAATCTCTGCAGATGTTGGAAGAAGCCTTGAAAGACATCCGCAGCAAGGCAGAGATGAGCGGATAGGCCCCAGGCTGCGGAGAAAAGTGCGCATCTTGGGGCGTTTTTACAGGGATGGAAGGGATCATCACCAGCGTTACAGTGTAGGTCCGAATGTGGCAGACGGCATTAGATGGCATTATCAAAGATCATTCTGTAGATAAATAAATAGGCAGATAGATAGATAGATCGATCGATAGATAGATAGATAGATACATAGATAGATAGATGGACAGACAGACAGACAGACAGACAGGCAGACAGACAGATAGACAGACAGACAGATAGACAGACAGACAGATAGACAGATAGATAGATAGATTCGATACGTGCATCGGATACGTATAGGTGCGAACAATCAATATTACCATCAATGTGCAGTATACCCTCTGGTAATTTGAGAGTGTGCTATCGATAATTGTGTAAAATTGTCCATGTGTATAGATGATTTACATTGATTGACTTATATTTACCTATGATTTACCTAGTATTTACCTATTATTTACCTACTATTTACCTATTATATCCTATTATATATTTATTATTTGCCTATCATTTACCAATTAAACATGGATGATTTCCCATGGCCCTGCAAATTAGGTCTTGGAGGACGAACTAGCTCCACCAGAGATGTGTCAACTGCTGGAGGTCCAGGGAGGATTCATTGGGAGCTGGTTGGTTATGATTGAATTCATAGTACCCGATCCATTGTTTAATCTATGTGGTTATGTGGCATGTCAGTTGTGAAATTGTATCACTCATGCTAGAAACCATTTGGAACCATACCCAGTGATACCGATCAAGCAGCAAACCGGGATGGTATAGGGCTATTTGCCCATTCCATCCCACTCATCATGTTCCCCAATAAGCCGGCAATTATGTGGTTCTTTGGGGTATCCAACATGTTGAGAAGCGGCCTTCAACCGTTGATAAATGCTTCTTAGTCGAGATTTTCCAGCATATGTTTTAGGGAGAAACCGGTTGGAGAAGATATCAATGTCGATCTACTGTAGTTCAACCGAAGCACAGGACATGTCGAGAACATTGTAAGGACAAGCCCTGCAAAAAAAATGTCGCAAAAAATCATAAAACTCCAGTATTAAATTAATGGGAACATGATCACATGTCACGGGATGGCGTGGGGTCCAAATTTGTGGCAACCCCAAATGGTCAAAACATGTCAAAACAATGAAGATCAGGCTGGCTCTTCCAGCCTGAAATACCATTTACGTACAACGAAAGCTTTTTGCCCATTGGTGCTCCCATGTTTGACCCATACCCGATGAATGCGCAAATATACTCGTATATATATATATACATATATATATATATGTATAATATATATATATATATATTATATTATATATTATACATATCAAAAAAAAAAGGTGTCATTATATATTGTCTGGTTTACTGTATGCTCTCATTTATTGATCATAAATCCATCATGATCCAAGAGCCCCCCTTTTGCCGACTTCTGGGCGAGGCCCATGTCAGCGTCCTCCAAAGAACCTTGAACGAATGGAAGGCGCATTTGGAGGCCCCCCTGCGGCAGCGGCCGCTGGCCCTGGGAAAGAGATGATGTTGAGATGTTTGCATGTTTGCGAACCTACCTATTTTGGCTGGAGGGGCCGGAGGGGCTACATTTGTCTCATTTGAGTTGTTCGATCCACACCCATGTCATTCAAGAATTCTTTGATGATCTGAACTCCGTGTCAGTCTTTGACCCTGTCGTTGTTGATGGATGGCTTACTGACAGGGGGCACATCCCCATGAGACATGCACAAGAGTATGTACAAGAAACTTAGCCTTCCACAATCGCTCTCATCATTTCAAATTCAAAGATCAACCATGAACAACAATGGTATTTTGTCCTATTCTTTGGGATGCCTGGCAGGCGGGAATGCGTTTTTGCCTCAGAGACCTGAAATGAGCAGAAGCATTGCAGGATCCATCAGCATCCATCGTCATCTCATCCGCAAGACAGTTCACCCGAATTGAGGAAATGCTGTTTTCAGACAATCAGCTAACAGTCATATTTGGTTATATTTGATCAAGGACCAACTTCATTTTCCCTGGCTTTGTCAATAGACATGGGGAAAACCATGGAAAAAAAAACAGGGACCCAGGGTTTATAGGGAAAACCCATGGTTTCGGAACATACTTTCGAACATGTTGGGCTTTCCGCACCGCCAAAGGTCAACACGAACTCGCCGAGCGGAAAGAGCTGGCGGAGCTGGGTCAGTTGCAGCGGCAGCTTCAAGAGGCTCTGGCCAAAGTGGCCGCCTGGCGGAAACGGTGACCTCTCTGCAGGGAATTGCCCCCAGTGATGAACATCTTGGTTTATAACCACCATTTATGGAATATGTTTGATATATCTGCCATAGTTCTAGCTTGGTTTTGAATCACCATTCATTAGCGGTACAGTATACTTACCATAAACCAAGTGAAATTGGAATTATAGACCAACTTTGCTAACTATGCGGCACCACTTTGTATGACGTGTGAAGGATTCCAAGATATTGACATACATTGTGGACAACCCAATGCCATAAACCTGCCATGACTGGGGATGGTTTAGTACAACAGATAAATTGTGATTTTGGGGATGGTTTATTATTCAATTTACCACACTCCAAGCCCAAACATGCCCAACAAATGCAGAAACGCACCTTCTGTGGCCCGTTTCTGCGCGACATGGCCCCATTGGTATTATATTATATCCTTTCCCCCTACAAATTACCACCCTTTGGGCTCCAAAATGAATGATCCAATACTAAAACACAGGGTTTCGGTTGGGAGGTATTGAATACGGATAAGGGATTCCAGTCATATATCCATTCCATTTTGGGCTCCAAATTTTCTGCAGCCCAAGGCATCCTCCGAAGCCCAGTTGCTGCAATTGAACGCAGAAAATCAACGATCCAACCTCAGTGGTGTCAGACTTTGTGCGTGTCATGGGGTATCATAAATACTGTAGCCCATTACTAGTATCACATGGTTACTTTACATTTTCCCATTTAAAGTATCAAGAAATTGCAATTGGTTGGCTGTTCCCCTTATTGAAAAAGAGACAAGAATAGAATACCCTCTGGTAATTTGTCACGTAGCCATTAAAAATGGCCATAGAAATAGTGGATTGTCCATGATTGTCCCATTAAAAATGCTGAGTTTCCCCATTAAAAATTGTGATTTTTCCCAGTAAAAATGGTGATGTTCCATCGTTTTCCACATAGCTCTGCAACTTTTCTCCGAGGTTTGCAGTCCCTGTCCGAGTCGCAGCGTGATGAGATCGCGGCGCTCAGCCGGGATGGTTGGCGCCCAGTGCAGATGTGGATGTTTGCTTTTTCTACCCTCTGGTCATTTAACATAGCCATGGAAAATGGTCCATTTATAGATGATTTTCCCATTAAAACCTCCATTTATAAGGGATTTTCCATGGCTATGTTAAATAACCAGATGGTAATTTGAAAAAATATGAAACATGCGATATGGATAGATAGCTATAGACGGATGGAGATAGATATATAAAGTTAGATTGATTTGATAGGAATGGATTTGCAAGAAACTGCGGCACGAACATGTATCGACATGCCTTTTATCAGGCCTTTCCGTGCAGTCCATGGTTTCATGCAGTCCATCCCTGTGGTCATTCAGCTTCAAACCCACAACATCCCACAACAAATACCAGGCATTGCCTAACGAAACGCCTACAAAACAGAGAGATCTTTGTTTTGTTTTGGCAGATGGTGGCTGGTTGTAGCAACGGTTGATGCAGTCGTTGATATCACCGTTGAAAAAATCGTTGGCGGTGGTTCACCACCAGCTGATGGCTGCGATTTTTAGGGCTGATGGCGGCCCAGGGCGGCTTCAAAGATCCGATTTTAAGACCAGGTGGTCCACCAGTTCCTTGATTCAGGGATGGATGGTGAAAATCATGGGAATGGCGGTTGAATGACCCAACTTATTGCCCATAAGTTGCCTACGAAAATCAACCAAAATGGCCTCATTTATCCCTACTAAGTTACCCTCTGGTAATTTAACATAACTATGGAAAATCACCATTTTTAATGGGAAAACTCACTATAAATGGTCATTTTCAATAATTAGCTATGTTAGTTTACCAGAGGGTAAAGAATCCCTTCCCCACCGAGGTCAATATCGTGTTGCTGGGGCCGCCTGCAGGTGCCCTTGAAAACTCGCTGAAAAAAATCCATGGGGACTGCTGTAGATGTTCCCGTTTTTTAACAGATCCATTGATGACATAAAACATCATCAAACGGTGATCTACAAAAATAGTGGTTCCAAGTTGTTTCTTGGTTATGCATGGTTATGCGACCTATGATTTTATGATGATTTCTGTGCGGGATTTATGCTTCAGACCAGCTCGTGCAGAACCCCCCCCAAAAAAATGTGTTTCTGTTGCATCTCGAGGTGGTAAAGGCACTCAAGCTGGCTATTTGGCCGAACGCTATGGTGTCTCGGTACTGTGGTAATTCACTTGTAGAGGAGAAAGGTGAGCTGTTTGCCCAAAGTGAAATGCCTTATAAATTTATAGATCCGAATCCTTATAGTGAATATTATTGGACCATATTCGATTGGGCCACACGAAATCATATCAAACCATGAAACATGTTTTGTGTCTTTTACTTTCTTAGTCTACTTGTGTCATTTTGTCATTTGTGATCTTGCAGGCCATGCAAGACATGAGCGCTTCACTGCTGCATCGGTATGGCCAATAAATTGCAAGGTTCCCGAAATCACTTCAGGCTTAAGATGACGGCAATTTTTGACAGACAAGAAAAACGTAACTGTGCGCATGTCACTGATTGACCTGCAAGGAATGGTAAAGAAAGAATGCACTCATCATGGCCCTCATCATATGCAGTCTCCATCTCCTACCCTCTGCTAATTTAACATAGCTATTGAAAATGGCCATTTATAGTGGATTTTCCCATTAAAAATGGTGATTTTCCATAGTTATGTTAAATTACCAGAGGGTAAACGTCGCCCAGGAATGATCCACATCCCAATGGGAGACCTGCTGCGAGCACGTGCCAAGTTTCTGCCCCAGCTGGCCGAGTACATTTCTCAGGGCGAACTGGTCGATGTCTCAGTTTCACATAGCGAAAATTTCCACCATGTCTTGATCATGTCCTATAGAGAAAGCCATGCATTTCATTGCATTTCCATAGCTATGTTAGTTTATTGATGTTTATTGGATGGTAACCCACGAAGTCATCAAATGAAGGGTTACCACTCGGTTGACATTGTAGATTTGTCATCTGTAGAAGGCAGAGTGGATTGGATGGGACGTGTTTGAGAGGGACATTTGACAAGAAACATAGTTGAAGAATGATATAGAATGAACCATGTATTTTTTGACAGCAGTGCGTCACCCTTGATGTTAGGTGCCTGATGATGTGGTTGTCTCTGTGTTGAAGGCTGGGACTTTCGTGGCTGCAAAAACGATAAGCCTCGCAATGTTTTCCCAGCATCGTGTCGTACACATTCGACTCGACCATCTCAAGAATTCCCTGCTGCTACTTTCCACCATGACAATGTCAATACATCGCAGAAATAGTCATAGAATTGGATGATGGGAAAATTTACAGGAAAACCCTATATTTGATGGTAAAAGTCATGGTTTCCTGTAGATTTTCCCTTAAACCAATCCATTGAAATAGTGATTGCAGCTGAACTAATGTGGCTCACAACATCTCGCGGAGTTTCTCAGGAAAGACTGGCAGACAGCGACTGTTTCTCTCGCGGCGTTCTGCTCGATGGCTTTCCACGAACCCGTGCGCAGGCGTGGAAAAGCCTGGGTTCCGCAATTGGGGAGCTGGGCGGCCAATTTATTGGGGATATGATGATAAACCTTAAACCATGAATATGTCTTGCATTTTGCTATACCCAATTATTAGGTCTTGGTATTGTAAAGTATATTGTTGGTATAACCCATAATTATTCAATTTTCAGATGAACCCGCATGGTGGTTCATGAGCCAAACTATGCCAAACTGCAAGTTGACCTTGAGCCAAAACCCTTCATGGGAGCCCCGAGGCAGAGGCCCTCAGAAATGCTGGGGTCGACATCTCTGCTGTGATTCATTTGAAGGTGGGATAGTTTCACATTGGCAGTTACGTTGACAGATTTTGACACTAAAAGCTAATCTACAATACGGCGCTTCTTGCTGTCAGTTTGTGAGAGAAGGGGGGATGCTACTTGAACAACATATCCACATTATTCCGCGACATGTGTATATGTATATGTATATATATATAAATATATGATATGATATGCATGTCACGAAAGGTAGCTCCAGAGGGGCTACCTTGAGTTTTACTTTACGAAGTAAAGGGGAGGGCGGCCAGCCCCGTTACCTGATTCTTCAGGAGATTGCTAGTCATTTTAGTACCCCCCCCCCTGTGATTTATTTTTGTTTACGTGTCTTCACAATGCATTCATGCATGTTGACATGTATACTTAATTCATATCTTTCATGCGCACTCCGCATGGCTCAAGACTAGCAGCAAACCGCGTAGTGTAAAAAGAGAGTGCAGCAGCCACTTCTTGTCCGCAGGTGTTCATAGGTCTCCAGGGCTCCCCTAATAGAGGGAAAAGCTACCTCAAAGTGGTAGCGGAGCCTGTGCCTTCGCCAAGTCTAGATCTGTGTGCCGAACTGCCGTTCTCTGCATACATTCCGTATATCGGACTTGCGGAGGCAACCTGTAGGTCAAGTTAGAGTAGCTGCCATGGTCTTAATCCACAACATGGATTCAGATGAAGAACAACTCCAGATTGTCTCTTATGAAGAGCCTGAAGCATATGCCGCCACCAGTCATTCCGAAAACCGGATGGGCATCAAAATGACACCAAAGGTTCCACCCCAATTTGATGGCCAATCAAGCTGGTTTGAATATGAAGATTTAATTGATGACTGGTTAGGGATCACAACATTGGATGCAGATAAACACGGACCATCATTAAAGAATGCCCTCATTGGTTCCGCTTCTTTTTATAAGTCGATGCTCGATAATGCCCTACTCCGAGATCCGGATCGTGGCCTCGCTCATTTCAAGGACACATTGAGACCATACTTCGTGAAGGGAGTAAATCATGTGTTCCTTTGGCGATTCCTCCAGATGTTTCGCACATATCGAGGCCAGAGCGAATTCGTGCACTGGATAGGGCGATTCGAGATCGCGCAGAAGCGTTTGTTGGCTTCTTGGTCCGATCTGCTGGACATATCCGATCTCCCCGAGGCAGGCACTCAGGCATTTACGGCAGCACTCACAGATGAGCAAAGACTGCACTATAATGGAATAGTAACAGATGAAGATAAGCTAGCTTATCAACAAGAACTGAGAGAACAGACCATAACCAATAGAAGGACCAGACATGCACAGCAGTTTCCATTGTCAGACAATTTGATGTCACTGATTTTTCTAGTGCAAGCAGACCTCAACGAGCAACAGCGAGAGCGCTTTGTCTCGTCCATGAACATCCGTCAGATTGCAATGCCTCAATACACCTATCTCCAAGTGAAACAGCTGTTCTTAGAACTTTTTGCCGTTTCCCGCACAGGTGTTGCAGACCCAAATATCACGCACCGCAAGCGGTCCAACTTCTACGTCATCGACGAGGGCGAGACCGAAGAAGGTGAGTACGGATTTTGGGTCTTCGATGAAGAGACGGGTGAAGAAGGTTTCACAGGTCTGTACACGGAGAACGAGTTCTGGGTTCTCAGCGCCAAGGGTTCATACTCTAAGCGCCGCATCTACGGCAGGTCCTTCAAGAAAGGTAGACCAAAAGGTTATGGCAAGAAAGGAGGAAAGAAATCAAGACCCGGCTTCCGCTCGAGGTCAAAAGGCAAAGGTTTTGCAGCATGGGAAGATGACCAGCAAGACACGGCTTTCTGGGGAAAAGGCAAGGGCAAAGGAAAAGGTAAAAAGGGCAAGAAAGGAATGATGAAAGGAAAGGATTCTTTCAAAGGAATGCCTTCATGGAAAGGAAAAGGAAAAAGTGATGCGAAGAACAAAGGAGGAACCAATCCATTTTTGTCACAACCTCCACAAGCTAATGTAGCACAGGCTGCATCATCCAGTGCATCACATGCCCCTGAAAAACAAGAAACAGCCCATGCCGAAGAAAGCTGGAGTTACGACTATGACACATACTGGACAGATGACTGGTCAGGTTATGAATCCTACTATGGATATGACGGAGATTACTCCCAAGGTGATTGGTACAATTGGTCGTACTTTGTTTCCGCTGAGGAACTGACCGACTCCGAGGACAAGCATTCAGACGTCAATTTCGAGGACGGACAGACCGACAAGATCAACCGGTTCTGTTTTTCAGGCATCCGCTTGTTCCGATTGTTCGGACACGAACTTGTAGAGGCCCTCACATTCGTGCTTCTGTTCGTGTCTGTGATGTACCAGTGCTTTTCTGATTTGAACAGGTCCCTATTGAAGAGCATTCGCCAAGTTGAGAAGAGTGTTTCTACCGGAAACGGTGAGCTGCATTCGTTTCAGCCGCGCCCAAGCCCGCTCGATTCCGTCTCTACGGAAGAGTGTGTATTCCTAAATTATGATCATGGTGCCCAACAAGCATTGCTTTGTGAATATGTAGATTTAGGTTCTCATCCGACTTATGTCATCCTTGACTCAGGTTGCACTCGAGCCATGGGATCCCGCTTTGCCATTGAACGCCTTGTACAGGCTTGCCAACAACATCCCAAGCGTGATCACATTTGGTTTTCTAAGCAACCGTGTTCAAGTAAGTTTTCATTTGCCAATGGAGAACAATCTACAGTCAAAGAAAGGTTAGTGATTCATTTTCGCAATGATCGTGCACAAACTGGTTGGATCACAACATGCGTTGACATCCTGGACAAAGGTAAGGTTCCTATCCTCTTTTCAGTTGAACAAATGAGGAATCTTCGCATGAACATTGAGCACACTCCTGTAGGTGAGTTCATGACTTGTCCACTGTTTGGAATGCAACGCACCGCATTGGCGGTCAGTACATCCAACCATCCAGTCCTTGACATTATGGCTCTTGCTACTTCCAGTTGGAAACCGATGTACAGCTTTCAGTCCGAAGACATCACATGCCCAGCATGCAATGGTAAACATCGACCACACACCAACAAAGAAGGTTGCAAGAGATTCAAAGGATCAGAGCCTAAGCCTGAAGAGGTGCCGAAATCGGCCAAGCCTGATTCCAAGAAGATTGTCAAGAAAGCAATTCAGCCTGATAGTAAGTTAGAAGTACCAGCTCAACCTTTTGATCCCGATGAAGAGCCAATGGTGGCCTCTGGGCCAAGTTCCGGTTCGAAGGACGGTATCCCAAGACGTCGGGAACCTCAGATTGAAGAAGAAACTGAAGTCAAACCGGAACCTAAGGTTGGAGTAAAACTTGAAGAGAAAAAGGAACCGTCACCTAAGGGAACTTTGTCACTAGCACTTCAGAGAATTCATGATAAGCTTCAATCACCCACTGAACTTCTCAAGTTGCATTTGAAGCATTATCACATGACCACTGAACAATTCAAGAGAAGAACATCGGCTCTGAAGTTGCCAAAAGAAATCTATGACAAATTTGATCAGATTACAAAATCATGTGACACATGTTCCACTGCCAGGATTGCACCATCGAGAGCTAAGGTTTCAGGAATCCGAAGTGAAGTCTTTGGTGAACTTACCTTCATTGATCATGGAGAAGTTCCGATCAATCAACAGTCAAAACTTCAATTCCTACTTATGTATGATGGTGCAACCTCTTTGACTACTGCTTTTGTAGTTCAAAACAGATCTGATCCGGTGACGATTTCCCATCTTCAAGAATACTTTGAAACTTATCAGCTGAATCCAAAATACATTGTTGCCGATCAAGCTTTCATGGGCATAGAGATGGAGAGTTACTACAACCGGCACAGCATCAGGCCAATCTCTCTAGGACCAGGAACACCATGGCCAAATAGAGCTGAGGCAGCCATTCGCATGTTTAAGAAACAGGTCTCATTAATGCTAATTTCCTTGAAAGATGATCCATTGCTTGCCAACATTACTTATAAACAGTTGTTGAGACAAGCCTGCATTTCAAGGAACACCATGGTAACACTCGGTGGTGTCACTCCTATTGAATTAGCATTTGGCAGAAGACCTGCCGATCTTACGGCGATTGAGCTCATGAATCCAGCTCAGCTCACGACTGAGGCCCCTGCTCCTGAGAGACAGATTGAAGCACTAAGGTCACTGGCGATGCGAAAGTTTCTAGAGGCAAAACAATCAGATGACCTTCGAAGAGATATTGCGAGTAAACTTCAACTTAGTGATGGACCATTCTTTCCTGGAGATAAAGTTTACTACTGGACCGAAGACAAATCAAAAATCAAATCAGACGGTTCACATGGAGGAAAATGGATAAAAGGGAAGTTGGTATCCGTAGATGGAAGTATGGTTGGAGTTGATTTAGGAACCAGAATTGTGAAGGTCAATATCAGTAAAATAAGAAAGGACCATAATCCTATTGAGGATACAGACATTCCTTTAGAACCAATTGCACTTGCCAGTGCCGACTTTTCGGCCAAAGCTGCCGCCGGTGCCGAATCTTCGGCCAAGGGCGCCTGTACAGCAGTGAAGTCCACTTGCCGCTCAGATGACCATGCAAATAACATCATAGAACACGATGCCATTCAGACAGGTCCTGAAGGTATTACATATGGTTGTTATACATGGGAGCCAGCTATGACCGGAAAATTAGATTTCCTTGAGCTGTTTAGCGGCTCCGCCAAGCTTAGTCAAGCGGCAGCAATGCAAGGACTTCGAGTCGGCGCTCCAATAGACCTCCGCACAGGTTACGACTTGCTCACTGCCGAAGGCCGGCGAAAGGCAATGGAAGTCATTGAGCGACAACAGCCAAAAATCATCCACATGGCACCTGTTTGTGGACCATGGAGTCAAATGCAGAATATTAATGATCCTGCTGATACTTATCAGAAAAGGAAAAAGTATCTTCCCATGGTAGAATTTTGTGCAAGAGTCGCTCTTTATCAGATTGAACATGGCAGATTTTTCATCATTGAAAATCCTGCGACTTCCAAGATT